GCGGCGGCGAACGGCTAGTCTTACCTCTCTAGTGGAGTCTGGTCTGCGTCCGTCATTCCGTTCGCGGCTAGGGTTAATTCATGTAACGCAAATGCGGGCGTTCTACTGGCTGCCGAGCGCAGCGAAGGCGGCCTCAATTGGCTAAAATTGCAATATGTGGTGGACACACTGTATGTGGTCAACACATCGTACTTAAATGCACCGTTCAAATTTCATTTTGCCCCATTTTCAACTGTGGGCCGCCACCTCATGCGAAGGGCGCTTCCTGTGTACGCGTTAGTTAGCATAATTAAATAGCGCCGATGGGCACACACGTACAATATCGTCGTAGGAGCCGCTGCAAATTTTTGTAGGCCCTGGTGACTTATATGTCGGCCTCAATCGAAACTTTAGTACTTATTGGATATAGAATGATGTTTTAGGCTTCGTAGTACTTTCCTAATGAGTTTAATTTCAATACTGTTTTGCGTAGTACTATTTTAAATACAATTCATTTTTTACTTGCTGTTATTTGTAGTAGTAGTACACATAATTGCTATATCAACGTTTGATAATAAATAACAAATATATTACTATAAATAATAATGTGAAAACTTTAAAATATGACTATTGTGGCTTACACCCCTGCACCTCCGTAAGAAAGTATTGTCTTCCTTTGTATTTGCGCGCGTAGTGTGCGACCTTCAGATATTATGTGAACTTTCCAACAATATACGTTGTGTACATCAAGCAAAATGGGAACAGCGTTTGTGATTAAGTTGGCGCGGATGCACATGTCTAAGCAAGGACACGAAACACGAAGGAATACCGACCTACACTATGTACACGATGGGATAGAAGAGCAACACGAAGCACGGAAGGCCATGGACGATGATAGAAGACTTAGCCGATGCAAACCACGATGTTTTATGCGTAGCGTGAAAGACGGAAGTGCACGCAGCTATGAAAAGGACAGAGGGACAAGAATATGACGGGAGTGTACAGACCACGGAAGGGAAATAGATATACAGACACCCCAGCATGCTAAAAAGGGTGGCTACGGAAGAGTACGCACGTAGCGGTAAGAGTGCATGGACAGCAACTCTCCCATAGCACCACGGAAGAGCACGGAGTACGGCCGCCGGACCAGGCATGAAGCGGCGGGAATCCGAAAACGGGAAGTCATCGAGCATTAGAGCACGTTATCAGGGTAGAACCGGATCTCACCAAGCCAGGGAGCACGATACTACGGTACCTAACAATCACACGGACGACAGACCAGCCGCGACACCACAAGCTAGCACGATAGCATGGGCTGTGCCACTAAGCCATGGGAGAACGCAGCCGCAGAGCTATAGACGTAAAATCACCGTGCCGCGGAGAACGATACCAGTGTTGAACCTGAGCTTACCGAGCCACGGAGGACAGTACTACATTAGAACTAGATTGCACGAACGGCGGGCCAGCCACGAAATAAACGGGGAGGTGGGCGCTTGGGGTGACCACGACTGCACACTGTGGAGCACGTTGCCATTGTAGAACACGATAACACGGACAACGCAGATACACTACGTGACCACAATACCATAGACAGCATTACCACACCGTGATTGCACGATAGCGTGATACCGCAGTCGATGGAACCTCACCTGGAGAGCACGATACACGGGCGACGGAACAACACGACTGCATAAAGTCACCAAACCACGGAATAGCACACTTCGGCTAGAGCACCGGCGAAGGCCAACGGTCACGAAATAGTATCTACCACGAAGCCAGTGCAACCCACATAAACGTTTGAGAACAGAGAAAAGTTAGCATTTACGAAAAGGCCGTACTAAAGCGCATGAACCCACAAGAGAGAGGACAGAACCGCTGAGCAGCGTGGGCCATGGGTGAGCAGGAACCTCGAAGCTGGGAAGAGCCACGAAAGAGCATGGACCATTGAAGAAAACAACACCAAACCCTGTAGTACGGGGTAACGGAAATGTTCCAAACCACGATATTATACGGGGCCGAATGAGACTACGGAAAGGCAAGTGGTTAAATACACGATGCCAAGATCTACGGGGTGAGCCACGCTCTCAAAACACGCGACACCAAGAAGCACTAAGGTTGCGTCCACCTCATCTCCAACAAACCATGCCACTCCGCCGCGTAGCGGCGGCGAACGGCTAGTCTTAAACATCTACTGCAGCAACCTGTCTGTCCGTCACACTAAATTGTCGTGCCTGTCACGCTTTTCCGGACAAATCATGGATAAAATAATTTAAATATTTCTACTGGCTGCCGAGCGCAGCGAAGGTGGCCTTAATTGGTTAAAACTAGAATGTGTAGTTGACATCAATAAATGCATGTGCATTGATATTTGAGTACTAAACGGAGGGCAGGGTGCTTAGCGTACACGTAAGCATGCGTGTTTCCGAGGACATGGTTTAAGTATACTAAATACTCTGTACTCAGTAGGATCTGCGAGTTACACTGACTAAAATGATAATTTGAATTTTTTTATTGTAAAGATATTAACATTATTAATAATAAGTTATCTGAGTGGGTTTCTGGTATTGCTAAATCGTACATGTTACATGTACAGCAGTAGCCGGTCGTGTGGGCTTGCCGTAAGAACAAAGCTGTGCTTATAAACGTTGTCACTAGATCCACCAAGATAGATAGTTTAGATTGACGTGGAAAAGAAGTAATATGTGCTGATGACAATTACTACTGTATTGTTTCCTAAGCGTTTATTTAGACAACAAAATTCTGATACTTCTTAATAGGCAGACGCGTTGCCGACAAGGCGTAGAATAAGGTTTTACATGCAGCGGTAAGATAACAACACAACATGAGAGGTGTAAATTATGGTTATTATAAGTAGGCCCGTAAAGAAACGTTAATCAACTTAGAGCCTAATCTACGTTTAACCATCCTGGAATCATCGTTTAAGTATCAAATAAAAATACCGCCGTCAACAAAAGGCGTCGTGCGACGCATCGTTATATCCAAAGGCTACAGTATAACCATAACAGGCACAGATTGGAGTGTATAATGACTAATTCTGAATCAGCACAAAATGAACACACTTCAATGCATAAGAAAATGCTACAGCCTGAATATTTTTATTAAATATTCAAACTGTTACACTTTTAATTTTCTTTCAAAGTAGCGAGTTTGGTATGCGAAGTGGTTAATAGTCAGTTTATTACAAGCTTAACCAGGCAGTACAAGCGGGTATTTGATGCAAGCTGGACAGATATTCTTTGCATTGTTGCAATCTAGGTTTCAGAAACGGCCCGTGAAATCGATCACGACGCTAAACTAAATATATTATTTAGCGTTTTTAGACTGAAGTGCAGGTGCTTCTGGGTGGAAGATTAAGGTACAGTGATCGCCAACAACAACAAAGAGACTTTGCCAAGATCACTAGCGTAATCGTTTATGAGCATGGTAAGTATGATGCTAGGGTCTCAGTCTTTTGTACCGGTAGAAATATTTACACGGCTTACTGGGAGCTCAGCATTTTGTAGCAAATGAAACGCAGATTTATGAAATTAAAGAAGTCGATTTAGGCACATGGGGGACTCAGAGGATTTGGACTAATTATCCCGCCGAAGCGAAGCGAAGGCGGGAAGGCAAAAATCTAGAGTAAAACCTAAATTACCGCCGCGTAGCGGCGGCGCTCGGCTAGTAAACATATATTGTATTTTCATCACTTCAACGTCGACGACTATTCGTCAACACATTACAAGCTGAGCTTTTAATGTGTGTCGTGTGAGTCAGCGTTTCAACTGAAGTGTATCCGTGCCTGAAGCTCGAGGTGACACTGCTTGCTGACATCGGTTATTTAGACTGCATGCACATGTACTGTGCAGTACAGTACGCACCTTCGTCTCTCTCTCTTTCTCGGTGGCACTGCTTGCAAAGCGAAGTGAGCTTCACTTCGTCGCAGTGATTTCGATGGAGGCTGCGACTGGACAAACTTGACGCGCAACGTTGTTCCCCACTCTAGCTCGCCAATCAACTGCCGAAAATCGTTTTCGTCGACAACACCATCGACAAACTTTGAGTCAAACATTCGGAACTTCCATGACATCTGTCAGATGATCTGACACGGTTGAGCTGACGCGTCAGCTTTAATAGAGCTTGAATACTGTATCCTCACTGAGAGGAGTCGCTCGTAACGGACCTGATACGAAGCTCAAAAGGGCACTTTGATGAAGAAACACCAGCCTCCAGCCTCCAAATAACCATGGATACTGTACTTCATTTCAGTGCAAGCGAATGCACGGGAGCCGCGACGAACTTCGGACGGAGATCTGGACCAGCTTGGTATTAATACATGCACATGTATTTTTTTAAAAGCGATCTAGCCAGCATCCTGGCGCATCCTCCTCGGTTGCGTTCTCCGTTGAAAGACCCATCCTCCTCACACTTTATTTGCTGTCAGCGCTAAACTACATGTACTTCAGTAGCACATGTACGCGGATCGTATCGACTCGGGCGTCTACGCCGTTAGAAGAGTGGAAGCTATTATATCACGCTGTTACTGTACCTGCATTAGTACTGTGTACCGGAAGCGCCCTCGGCGGTGACGATCTCCTCGCTTCAAAACGTTCTTGCGGTCTGGAGTTTTAATTTAATCTACGGGATCACGAACCAAAGGGATCCAATCTTGCACCGGAACCGTATGGCTGCTCGCTCGTTACAAAGATCAAGTGTAAGAAACGCTTGGCAACTTCAGCTTTTGTACAGCTAGCCCATCTTCTCGTCTACAGGGTTTGTCTCTCGTGTATCAAATCACATAGAGACGGGGTGGAGTCTCCGCTACCTGCACCACCATTCACCAATCCGGTGTCCGGCTTGGCACCGCGTCACCTGGTGAGACTTTCGCTGCACATGGACCCGTCGGTCTATGACCAGCAAAAATGGAGCCGGCGCCACCGACTTAACCTATCACAGCAGGACAAGCTGTCCAGTCAGCGTTCTCCACACGTGCTTGCGTCTGCGCTGATTGGCACGCCTTCATGACTGGAGCAGGGTCAAGAGATTCCCTCAGCACATCGAGGGATGAATGCGGCCGTGAGCCTTTTTGCCTTGCCGCCGCCACGTCCACTTCTCGTTTTGCTCCGGTCGAAATAGCCGCAGCATTTCCTTTTTACCACAAGAGTCGAGACCGTCAGACGTCTAACATCATGGCGTTCTTCACGTCCGAGGACCTCAAGATCTCCTTCAACTTCTTCTGTACCGTGTACGGTATCGGCACACTTGGCTTGCCATCCAACTTTGCCCGTTCGGGTCTCACACTCGCCATCATCGCGCTGCTGTTCATGGGTTTCGCCAACATTTGCTCGTGCGTCGCCATCTCGCGTGTGATGTTGGCTGCCCCAAAGACGGTCAAGACGTACGGTGACGTTGGCGAGTGGTGCTGCGGCTCTATTGGCCGATACCTCGTGCTCTTCGTCCAGTTCGGCGTGTGCTGCTTGGTGCCGACCGCGTTCCTGGTGCTCGGCGGTATCCTGCTCGACGGTATCTCCCCGGACGCCTTCGACCAGCAGTACTGGAGCATCATCATGGCTGCGATGCTGCTTCCCGTAATTCTGACTCCGACGCTCAAGGAAGGTGCTGCCGCCGCGTTCGCCGGCTGTGTCGGCACGCTTCTTGCTGACGCTATCGCTCTTGGTGTGCTGGTGAACGGCATCGGCTCGGACCACCCGGCCGTCATCTCCCCCGACTTCGACTTCGGTCAGGTGGCCAGTTCCTTCGGTAACTTGGCACTGGCCTACTCCGCCGCGGTGCTGGTGCCGGCTCTGCAGCGTGAGCACTCGCAGCCCGAGCGTATGCCACGCGTGGTTGCCACCACCATGGCGTTCACGGCTTGTCTGTTCCTCATCATCGGTGTGACTGCGTACTCCTACGTGGGGTGCCAAATCCCCGGTAACCTTCTGTTCGCTATTGGCGGTACGGCCCTCGACCTGAACGCCAACCGCGGTGCTGTTGTGCTTGCTTACATGTTCATGCAACTGCACATCACCATCGCTATGTCCGTGATCCTGAACCCCGTGCTCTACATCGCTGAGCGCGGCATTCTGGGCATGCACAAGCGTCCTGTTCTTTCCCATGTGGACGAGGAATCTCCGGCGTTCGAAGTTATCAACACGCCGTCACATCCGAAGGACCACGGCGGCCCATCTGTCACGTCGTTGGCGGACGCCGAGTACGATCTGTCCCCCGACGCACTGGTTGAAGAGTACCACAACAGTGGCCCCCTCGTGACGGCCAAGTACATGGCACTCCGTATTGCCATCGTTGTGATCCTCCTCATTATCGCTATTATCTTCAAGGACCACTTTGTCGACTTCACGGACTTTGTCGGTGCCTGGGCTGTGTCTATGGCTTGCATCATCCTGCCGATCTTCTTCTACCTTAAGGTGTTCTGGAACCACACGCCTTGGTACGAGAAGGCCATCGGCGCCTTTATTATCGTCGTCTGCGCTGGCCTTGGTGGCTATGTAACGTACACGACGGGCAAGAACCTCTTCCTCGACATTGTGAGTGATAAGACCTTCCAGTACTGCCCCGCAGGCCACGACATGGTCGTATACACGAACGAAACCTTCTACGGCAACAACTAGGAGCGTCCACGGTTAGCATATTGCGCCATCCTGGGTGACCAAGTGCTGCTATGCATACGCGTAGCACCGCAGAGTCACTCTGGTGTCAAGCTCGCCCTGGTAATATGCTCTTGTATCAGCTAAAATAAAACGTAAGATTCTATTGAACTTGGTCGGTGCCATCTAAATGCAGCATTTCCAGCAGCAAGTCAAACAGGTAAAAGTATCAACCGATCCCGGGTTGCCTGAACGATCTACCATCGATGACACATAACGAATGACAAACTACTACTGTAGTACATGTACAAAGTCTCGTGGTGTGGCAAAAGTCCTTAATAACGCGGGCAGTATGCAGCTTCAGTTCGGTACAAGCACAATGTAGGGGGTTGGAGACGCCCAGACTGCTCGTCAACAAAGAGCAGCACATGGAGGTGATACATGTATACCCCCTCAACTCCCGCGTCTATGAAGACTCGAGTATCGCACGCTGCATGGAGGCGACTGAAAGCGTCTCTGCGAATCGGCTGAACGAAAGCTGCCAGCTCACAAAACCCAGTCAGCGATCGCGCAGGCGCCGCTGATGGAAACAAGTACAGATGCCCGCCTCACGAGCAAATGTTGGCGAAACCCATGAACAGCAGCGCGATGATGGCGAGTGTGTTCTCACTACCGGTGCTTGGACTCGAGTATCAACGAGGTGAGCTAACCGGTAGCAGACCGTTCATTTCCTATTCTACTCCGTTAAAGACAAGACCCCCCTCCAGCCACTGGACGGCGGTTTAGCATCTTCGATCATGCCGTTCTTCACACTCGAGGGCTTCAAAATCTCCTTCAGCTTCTTCTGTACCGTGTACGGTATCGGAACGCTGGGTCTGCCGGCCAACTTCGCGCGTTCGGGGGCACCGATCGCGACGGTGGCGCTGCTGTTCATGGGTTTCGCCAACGTTTGCTCCTGCGTCGCCATCTCACGCGTGTGCCTCGCAGCACCCGAACACCTTAAGACGTACGGTGACGTCGGCGAGTGGTGCTGTGGCAAGATCGGACGCTATCTTGTATTGCTCGCACAGTTCGGCGTGTGTCTCCTTGTGCCGTGCGCGTATCTCGTACTAGGCGGTATCCTACTGGATGGTATCTCGCCGGGCGCGTTCGACCAGCAATACTGGAGCATCATCATGGCTGCTATGTTGCTGCCTGTTATCGTGACGCCGACGCTTAAGGAAGGTGCGTACGCTGCGTTTGCTGGCTGCTTGGGCACCGTACTCGCCGACGCGATCGCCATCGCCGTGCTGGCAGTAGGTATCGGCAACGACCACCCGTCCGTGCCCCATCCGGACATCAAGTTCAGCGAGGCGGCATCTTCATTCGGCAACCTGGCTCTGGCTTACTCCGCCGCCGTGCTGGTCCCCGCTTTGCAGCGCGAACACTCCCAGCCTGAGCGTATGCCTCGTGTCATCGCCTGTACCATGATCTTCGCCGCGTGCTGCTTCCTGATCATCGGCGAGACGTCGTACTCGTACGTGGGGTGTCAGATCCCCGGTAACCTGCTGTTCGCCGTCAACGGCACGGCTGCTGTCGTGCTTGCCTACATGTTCATGCAACTGCACATTACCATCGCGATGTCCGTCATCTTGAACCCCGTACTGTACATTCTTTAACGTGGCGTGCTGGGTATGCACAAGCGTCCATTGCTCTCTCCTGTAGACGAGGAATCACCGGCGTTCAACGTTATCAACACCCCGCAGGACCGTCTGGGCGAGAAGGAAGGCACGCCTACTGTCAACGCTCGTCCCTCGATCACGTCTATGGCTGACGCTGAGTACGACCTGACCCCAGAAGCGCTTCTACACGAATACCACAACAGCGGACCCGTAGTGATCGCCAAGTACGTGTCGCTGCGCATCTGCGTTGTGGTAATTCTACTGATCCTCGCCATCATTTTCAAAGACCATTTCATGGATTTCTCCGACTTTGTCGGCGCTTGGGCGGTGTCTCTGGCGTGTATGATCCTACCGATCTTCTTCTACCTCAAGGTGTTCTGGAATACCACGCCGTGGTACGAGAAGGCTATCGGCGCGTTTATTATCGTCGTCTGCGCTGGTTTCGGTGGCTACGTGACGTACACGACGGGCCATGATCTCTTCCTGGACATTGTGAGTGACAAGACGTTCCCCTACTGTCCGGACGAGTACGCGGAGGTCGTGTACACCAACGCGTCCTACTACGGCAACAACTAGACGCCCACGGCGGCTTCAACTGGAAGGGAGAGATGCTGTTGTGCATAAGCACACACAATATCCCTAGAGATGCCAAAGCTTGCCGTGACCGTCTTGGTGTCGCATTTAAAATTAAAGTTCCTCATAGCTGATTAGGTAAATAAATGAATTGATCTTATCGCATTAACTGTGTCCTTAGATCATGGTCGTAGCCATATGAGAGTGTCGTTTATCCAACTGAGCCACAAATCTTCTGAGCAATACTGGTGAGAATTTTGCGTCCGTACGGGATGTAACTTGCCGAGTACCTGCAGAACGGCAAACGGTCAGTAGAATTAGCATCTCACGTAGCTGTATACTACGTGTAGTAGCAAACCTACCAGACGGCAGCGGCACACTGGATAAGCACCAGGAGCAGCACAACCAGACCGAGTTGCGGCGCCTGGAAGAGAAAGGAGGGAGCCACCTTGTTAGTACGGTATCACAAATACAGCAGGGTACATGTTCGTACCGCGAGGGCAACAGTGAAAACCACAGCAATCATCAGTAGATAGATGACGGTCGCAATGCGACGCACGGGCTTGAACATGAGCTTCACCTGCTGCTTCGGACCCACGAGGAAACCCGATCTGGCCGTGTATACGACGTTAATAGCTGTCTGCCACTTCGGCAGTAGCTGCCGATCCTACCCGCATAGTGAGATGATGTTGCCCAGACTGTAGGTGATTCCGAACTTTGTGCCATTATCGGAGCCCGCGATCAAGGCAAATGTCGACTGGCAAGAGCAAGCAAATGCGATAAACACCTCAGTTCTCGTTTCCTGTTGCACTGCAAACACGATTTTCTATACCCCGAAGCTCACGATGTACCCGAGCACGAAGCAGGACGCAAAGCCGACCAGTCTCTGCTTCTTGGTCAGACTCGGACATGTCGGGGTCACCCCAGGGGTGAGCGCGTCGTCGGAAGACGCTGGGGCCTCCGTCTTCGTTGCGCCCTTCTTGTCGCCCGTCACACTGGCCAACTTCTTGCTGGCATCGCTGGCCGCACCCGCCACTTTGTCGCCGGCACCGCTGATCACCAACTTAATCTGGTCCATTGCGATTTTCCCGAAATGAGATAATAACGGACGGCTTGATGAAAATCAAGCTGGATGTAGCCATGCTCGAATGGCTTCACTGTGTACGTCTTCAACAAAAATATTTTTGGGTGTGAAATGTGATTTTTGCATTACTCTACAATTTGTCAGCAACTCCATATACCTGTGGTACCGGTAGCTGAATCGTTTACAGGAAGTATGCACCGATAGCCATAACGGTAGCAGCAGCCGCGTCCATGGTGATCTGAGACGCACCGCTCGAGCCGGACGCACTGGCCGAAGCAGAAGCAGCCGAAGAGCTCGAATCACCAGTGGAAGACGAAACGGTGGTCGCTGGATCCGAGGACGAGTCCGTCGTCGATGTGGTCGAGCTGCCTGCGTCCACCGATCCAGTTGAGCTTGTGGTTCCCACCGACGTGTCGGCCGTAGCGCTGCCTGCGGTGCCGACGGTGGGGGTAGTGGCGCCCGTTCCGGAAGCCGCCGTGGCGGTGCTTGCTCCAGAGGAAGCCGTCGTTGCACCTGTGTCGGGAGCTGCAGTCGCGCTAGTTGAGGAAGCGACACCCGTGGCTCCAGTAGCAGGGGCCACTGCCGGCGTCGTGGCGCCTGTGGCCGGAGTCTCACCGGTGTTGGTTGCTGTAGTGGTGGCAGCTTGTCCGGAGACGCCAGCGATGGCGAGGGCGGCGATAACGAGGACCTGGAAGAACTTCATGGTTGGGGATAGAGAGGAGGGAAGAAGCTAGTGCACTTGAAAGTGGAAATGAGAATGAGTTGAAGAGCAAGAAGCTTCAGTGTTTGATTAAGGTGTTGTCATGGAGGGAGAGAGACTCCTTTGAGCTCGCAGCCTGGTTTACCATGCGACCACAAGTTGTGGCTGTACCATGTGACTTGCTACAACAACTGCCAGCGGTTTTGTATTACCGGTGCTTTCAATTATAGTATGATATTGTACTGGCGAGATGAAATGCACCACCATTTTTTTGTTTTGCCCATAAATACAAAAGTAATTATCGGATTAACCCTTTCGCGGCAAAAGGTGCTATTCTGGCACCTTTTGTCGGGTTTTCAGGAGCCGCTAAGAAAATCGCTTCAAAAGGAGCTTTATAAGCACGGTTTGCTCTGTTTCCATGTTTCCACACACCGCGATTTGTAACAACAGCATTTGTATCTTCTGAGAGGAGACGGACAGTTGGACTTGCAGTCAAAAAGACTAAAATTACTGATATAGACTATTAATTAAATCAAGATAAATTTCCCCTGCTAGTACCCTGAAGATGGTAGCTTTTCATTAGTCTCATCAAGATGCTTGCATACTCGACCGTCAGCACAAGCTGGAGCTATCATGCCGATTTCTGAATTGTCGCTATGCCTCGGACCACGTTTTTGGAGGAAGAAGATAAGGCGCTAGTGCAGCTCGCTCGCACCTACACAGAGCGCGGTAGCAAAGTAGCTTGGAGTGAGGTGGCCAAGAAGATGCGACGCTGGAGACGAAGTTCCGTGCAGCTCGCTCAGCGATTGAATGCTCTAAAGCGAACATTTGGCAGGAATCTGACAAGCTTTCCGCCGTCATTTTTTACTAAGGCTCAAGCTCGGCGAGGTCGTCGTAGCGCGCTGGTGTTGCAGATTCGGCAGCCTGCTCCAGCACCACAAGATCCAGAGAACACATTGAGCTCAACAGCAAGCCCAGTTTGTATGGATACACAGCTCAGCCAGTTGGCATCTGTAGCTACACAAAACGTGTTGTAATCGGAGAAAGTGACGCCAAGTCAGCAAATCGAAGCCTATCCTAGTGAAGTGCATGGGGCAATGGCGATAAAAGCAATGGAGCGTAGCGGAGTAATGGTCTTTCCGGCATCCTTACCTGTGGCCTCTATCCAGCCTTTGGATGCAATTGGGTTGGCGCAGTCTACTACGCAGCGATCTGATTCACGAAAGAACTGTTTACTATCTCCTCACGCAGCAGCTGATACGATGTCAGCCATTTTTCAGTATGTAACAAGAAAATATATCATTTATCCTGCGGCAGCCCCGGCGTTGAATGCTGGGGAGCTTCTTCCAGCTGCTATTAGTAGTCTTATCGCTGCTATCTTCAAAATCAAAACTATTGATGCCCAAGATGTGTTTCTTGACATCGGCTGTGGTATCGGTAACGTATTGGGGCAATTTGCGCTACAAACGGCAGTTCGAGCAAGTCTCGGAGTCAAAATTCGCCGCGAGCTCATCGGACATGGCTCAAATGCAGTTAGCAGCAATTCGTTACGGTGACCATCACTTGCTAAAGTGAAATTGTATGGTGCTGATGTGCGCAAAATCGAAATCTCGACGATAACACCGTTCTCGACAGCCACCATTGTCTTCGCGAATAATCTGAAGTTTGAGCCGTCCACGAACAATTACATCAACGGAGAGTTATTTTTTATGTTGAACGTGTGGGTCGTTGCGTTTACCAGCGAGGTGTGCCCTCGCCACAACAGCGCTTGTACAAAAGATTTTTGTAGTCGTTGGGAGATAGAGGACGTGATCCGAGTACCTGCGAGCTGGACAAACCTCATCAGCGTTTACATTTATACAGAGAGATATTGATGTTTACATCGATAATATCAAAGAATTCTTCTAGCTGCTTGACCCTTTATGGTCTGTGGGGGAGGTAACGTCGAGTCGCTCTGCTTCAACTTGTATAGCTCGGACGCCTTCATAATGTTCCCCTTTACGGAAAAAAGGTTCCGAGGCAGGTAAAAGTCATGAAACTTCTCCCAGCACGTCCATCGTGCTATTTGGCAGAAGTACGGTCTTTCTGGGGCGGTGTGAAGAAGTTGACAAAGGCATACGTTGTGCAGCGTACAGTGATCAGTCACGACAGTTGGCAAGCGGTTTTCCCAGCGACAAACCACGCATTGACGTCGTTTCTTGCTCTCAGTAAAAAGCTGCTTCGAAGAAACAGTAGTACACACGTTTTGAGGACTATCGACAATATCGGGTGTTTTCACTGTCATACTCCATGTAGTTGCAGCACCACATAGATCGACACTATTACCAGTACGTGCGTTTTCGTACAGCATCCGGCGATCACTTGGTGCCTCCATCCATTTTCCAGAGAGTAGCTCTTCGGCCAATTGAGTCACAAAAGCGCGGTGAGGGTCTCTCTCCTTACTCATATCCACGACAAGCTTTCTCGACATGTATGCATTGACTCTAGCGACATCTACTAGTGACATTGCCAGCTTCTTGTACCATTTTTTGAAGGAATGTCCATCAGCGATGGAAAATCGCGCACGCAGTTGGTCCAGGCGGTCGACACCCTGCATGTGCTTGTTGTATTGCGATACGCATGATGGGGCTCGGTAAGGCTGCATTGTACTTCCTACTCGACGGGTTAGCTCCGTTGCTGTTGAGCTGTCAGCGTTTGATATCATTTGACAATGGCACTATCGAACCAGGAAATTGCAGTCATCTGGTGGGTCTGCGACACAGCTTGCCGAAACTTTCCTCTTGTACACTCGGTTTTCTTCAGGATGACATGGTTTGGGAAGTGCATGCTATTTTTTCGAACTGTCCCTCGACCGTAAAGTCCTTTGAGCTGCAATGCAGCAAGTAGTTGCACGGACATGTAGTAGTTATTCGCGTTAATAACCCGACTGGTATGATACAGTGGACGGGCAACTTCCACTACCTGGCCACGAACGACGGCGAGTGCATCTAAATCTTGGCGCAGCTCCTCAATTTCAGCATCGGATGCAATATTATGAAGCCGATCCGATACATCACTCTCACAGTGCACTCGGAAATTGACAGCAATCCAAGTCGTAGAACAGCACAGCATATAAAGCCGAAAATGGTATTTCCCTCCTGGTTTCATGGGGTTAAACATGATAAGCCGCCTTCCGAACTTGGAACGACATGCCACGCTGGCTTCATCCAATGCAACATATCGACCAACTTCGACGTATTTTCCGCCAGTCACTTTCATCAAATTCACAAGTGTTCGAATCCGAGCGAGTGCATCTCGCTTGCTGGTTTCATTTGACGCTTGATGCGTACTTTGAGGTTGCTGCGTAGATAATTGTGTAGGCGATGCTATCGGCATGTTGTTAGTAGCATGATCGGTATGCACTTGATGGTCCGACCTTGAAGTCAACTCAACTCCCTCTCGCTGGTATTCCGATGAGCTCTGAGCTGTAGCCACGCTCGAGCCATCTGCAGTGGCGCTCGCATCGTCATTGAGAGCGTCATTCACTGAAGCAGCAGTAGGTCCAGCCCTCAGTGAAGAAATTGGTGTTGCAACGTTAGCCAAATGTTGAGCTCGCTTTGAAATTGCTCTAAAGCAAAATGACTTTCGTAACAGCTTGAATCTTGCGAGAGGCATGATATTATCGAGCCCAACACTGCAGCCACCCAATATTCTATCTTCCACTTGCTGTCCTCAATAATTAGCGTATTCACCCTTGTCCACCAGTGCCATATAAAGCAAAATACCCAGAAAAATCATCACTTCTTGCAACGTAAAAAGAGGTCGGTATGTGATACGGTTCTCACGTTCGTATTCACGCATCGCTTTGTTAGTTTGGTGAGCCACTTCGAACCGAAAGTAGACAGGGATGTACGCAAAAAATGCCGATGAAGGTGAGTGCGTAAACAAATGACAATATTCCGGTAGAATCCTAGTCTCCGTGCCTCCGTCATGATGTTCGTAAAGATCGGAAGGAGCTTCCATTTATGCTTCTGGGTCAAACTTCAAGTTTTCAATTGCCTCCACTTCCGTCATCGACGACGGAAAAACAAATTCTGGGTCGTAGCGGTGGAAGGACTCCTCTTCTTCGTTCTCCACAGCTTCAATGTCACTGGCATCTCTTGAACTTCGATCTCGCTTTATTCAGCATGACCGAGAGCAGCCCATGCCGGTTTCGATGGTGACGACATTATGTTACTGTAGTTTTCAACGCCGCGCTGCACTATGCTTATGTTCAAGTACTCACTTTTCTTCTGGAACTGTGTGTCGATCCATTGGATTTCAAGCAGAGCATTTTTTTGTCGAATCGTGTTACGCGTCCAACGATATACGCGCTTCCGACAGCAGAATACACGCTGTCCTTTAGCCAGACTTCTTTGACGGGTGAATACGCCACTAGTTTCTCGACGTAAGCGCGGAAAACAAGCGCGTTGTGATTTCGTGCTGCTTGGGCACGCGATCGTTTCGATCCGCCGCGTGTTGTAGACGTTCGTGTAGGATTAAAGTCAGGATTCGCGTCTCCATCCACGGTAGATTTCCCCGCTGCTCCAGCGCAAGAGTATTCATCATCTGCGGTGGCGTCATCCATAAGTTCGGCAAGACTTCGCTGCCGCTTTCGTGTCTGCGTAGTGCTGTGCTTGTGATAACCTTTTGTCTTCCCCTTACCTAGCTGCGTTTGCTGTGTAAATTCACTCTGTGTGCTTGGTATCAGCTGATGACGAGCACGTTGTTCTTCACCATGGTTACCTTGACCCCCCCACCGTCGTCATGGTGATCTTGACGATGGAGTGGCAGCTCTTCTCCGGCCTGACCTAGGTCGCCACAACTTGCTGCTGTCACGTCGCCTACGACCGTAGCCTCATCAGAACTAATCAATAACGAAACAAACGATTGTGTGTCATCGCCTCGCGGGGGTGTAGACGTTCGCCGCACTTGCTGGCCGCGCGCCATGATCGCCTATTGTCGGTAGATCCAGCAGTGATTGACCGACTGTTGGTGGTATTCCTTACTGAATATAAATTTGCATAGTGAAAACAACACATGTAACCTTCCCTATCGAAAGCCGCTTGTACGACACATTAGCATAGTGAAAAAAGTATATTTGCCCATATGAGATTAGAAGCTGCTTTATTCAAGCCTGCGCGAAGGACGCTTACTTCTGACACGATACTCGCTAACGACGCGATACTTCTGTCGCTATGCGATGTTTTTGAATAGAACTTGGGGCAACTGAACAATACACTTTGTGACGCGTCGATATTTATAATCGGATAGAATGTAGTGGTGTGGAGTGTTGCTGGACGGAAAACCCGAGCTTACTAATATTCATTCGGATAAGACTGGCGGTGTCATGTTCAGGTTAGTTCATAAAGAGCATGTTGTTCTGGATGCCGTTCTGGCTGTACGACGGCACTGTTGCTGACGGAGGTGGCGCTCAGGACGGCTTGTAGATGTTTATAGGGCCACGGAACACCAGGGCAACCTCCTTCGTCTACGTCGATGTCGTGGGGGTAGCTGAAATCGAAGTAAAAGTCTGCGTAGTTATAGACGTGCTGCTGGTTAATGGAGTTTTATTGGTGCTGTCGGACGAAGCAGTCGCGGTTACCGACTTGTAGTCACAATGGTCCTTCGGGGCGGTAGTGGTAGCGGCCGCAGTCGTGTTGTCAGGGTATTCAGTCGCTGACTCGGTAGCCGACTGTGCATAGTGTTTGTGCTGGCATTAATCCGCCGGAACTGACGGCGACAGTCAATTGAGACAGCTGTGCATCTTGGTATCGTTCGGCGTGCAGGCTGGCGTCGGCGCACTGTTCACTCTCGCAGAGGAGGGTGGCGTAGGAGCTGGAGGTGGACTTGATCGAGCTTGTGTTAGGTGCGATGCTCATGACCACATTGCAGCAGGACTTGCCTGTGAGCTCCTTGTAGGTCTCGCGAGACGAGGAAATGTGTTATCGGGCAGGTTGACCCTGACGTCGTACCAGGTGTGCTGACCCGATACGTAGAGATCAGCGAGAGTGGCCTTGTCGCTCATTTCGTTACGTTGGGTAACCGCAGGACAGATCTCGAGACGTGGAGGCTCCACGCTCCACTGGAGCTGCCGTCCGTGATGGCACAGTCTTGCTGCTACCGTACAGGCCGATTCCTTTGGACGTTGGTGGGGATACTGATCGGCTCGAGTGTGATGATGGGCGTTGGCCGTATTTGGACGGATTTGCCAAATTGCAGATCTAGTCAGTTAGTCTAACCAATCAGAGTATGAGAGGGAAATTCTAGCCTATCAGGAATCTGTATGAAAAGGGGCTAAAAGAGCACGTTTTGCATAGAACATGGTGGCAAGAGACACATCACCCTTTAGCTCGAGAAGACAAAGCAGCGTGAGCTTAGAAACAAAAAGGGTCATTTTGGGACCTTTTGCTCCTGAATGACTGATTTTTGTATGGTATACAGGCTCATGTATTTCGCGAAAGGGTTAATGCCGGCAGACCCGCAATGGAAACAGGGAATTGTACTGGCGAGATGAAATGCAACACCAAACATTGCCCCTTCACAACTTCTCACCCAATTACCCAATTTATATGAGCTTTTTTTTTGTTGGAAAGATAACGATTTCTTCTCTTAAGTAGTCATAATCATCCTTGAATATCTGCTCAAATGCACATGCTACACTTAATCGAAAAGTGCGTGTCTTTCGTTCCGCCCAAAAATCGAGGCTATGTTCTTGACATATGGCATCAGATGTTTTGGTCCTAACAAACTTTAGTATTACAATCAACAATGCCCTTTTTACTCATTTCTATGCACATTTGATCCTAGGAAGTGGGGCTGTCGGCGATGCGTTTAGCACTGCACGCAGCAATCCCTACGCTGCTCCTGTAGCTAAAACAAACTTTTGCAGATGCGTTGCATTCCAAGCTACATTCTGACGTAAAGCTTGTCACTTTAGGCTTCTTTGTTTGTTAAATATCGCAAGAAATGTTCTGTGCATGCATGATCAGCATCAATTTCCGGCAGACGTTTGAGCTTCCACCATTTTAATAAAATACAAGAAAGTCAAACAATGTGTGTTTGTCAGGAAGATCTGGTGACTCTTGAAACACGTGCCCCACGCGCTGTCATTCACGTTGAAGTGAAAACCTGAGTGGCTTCGTGGATCATTTAAGTCTCAACTTGGGACTCTCAAGTCCCGTCACAACAGCATTGGGCTCAAGAATCACAGGTTTCTTCAGCTTTAAGTAGAGAGCCACACGTCGAGTGGCAATGTCCTGTCCTACATCATCGATAGGGAAGCAGGGGGACGGTTAATTCCTCGATCGTAGAGCGCATTGGTACGTGACCCGGAGGTTGTCGGAACCGAGGACATACATCATATCTAAATACGTTAGTACGGGGAAATCTAATGAGCGAGGGAGCTCGAGGTACCCAGATTTTGAAATAGGATGAAATGGAGTACCAAAAACTGAAATGCCGAGAATCTGTAAAGAATAACACAGATGTGACACAGCTAAATGCTCTGGTGATGTACCGAATCAAGTACTCGTTCCTACATGTAATTGTCGACGTCTATTTTGGCTGAAATTACAACAAAAATCTCCAGCAGCTATTTGTTGCTAAGGCGCTTTTTGCGTGCAACATACTGGTCACGCTCGCGTCCCCATCCATAAATATCTACACGACAAATTTGTAGTAAATTCAGAATGTTCTGCTTGTTGAAAACCAACGCAGCCGGAACCCAGCAAGTGTCCCGTGAGTGTCGTACAGTATTATGCATTTGTGTCGGTCAGTGTATTTGGATTTGTATAGGCCAGTCCAGGAAAGGGAAAAAATAAATTGGTTTATCCGCCGGAAAAAAGTGCAATCAAAATGCTATATTGCAGGTACCGATGAGATTGCAATATAAACTGCAAAAAAACCTGCAATACTCAACTGCACTAAGTAATCGCGATTAGCACTTGCTCACCATCGTGTGACTTCCTTATCGCTTTACGTGAGTTCCAGAAATCCTAGTTTACCTTGAGAAACATAATGGCTTCGAACATGCCAGGAGTCAGGCGGGATCGGCGGTCCGTCATCACGTATTTATCTGCACTAAACAGCCTCTCAACTGCTACGGATGTTCCTTTCATGAAGCTGAGGTTCTCATATGCCGTTATCTTAGTCATTTTCAGGCGCTTGCGTTCTTGTATCTGGTGGTAGTAGTCGACCATTTCGCCGTGTACAATGCGTCTAGACGGGGGGGGGGGCTGTTTTAACTTTAAAGTGCTTTATAGCAGCTTTCTCTCTGGTTGACAAATCTCCTGTGGTGTCGTTAAGGACCTTCGTTATTGCTGCTTCGAAGACAGGATCGTGCACAATGGAGGCGTCTTGTGCAAGATGATGGTTCATCTCCGGATAGTCCTCCAGAATAGCGTCGAAAGTCCCGCGAGCAGAAGCCACGGTGGCATTCTTGTCTTGAAGGCCGACACGTAGTGTCGAAGTAGTACTTGATCGACGCGGGCATTCCGTCACGTCTGGCTTTATTTTTTGAGAGAGCCATTGTAGAGATTGGTGAGGTACACACAGGGAGTGTTTGTGCTTCTGCGACTGAGAGGATTCAGGAATGAAACTTTTGGTGCACTTTTGAGAAATAACCTATTCCGCAGGTAGACTAGTAATCTCTTCCGCAAACGCTATACCTTAAACTAGGAAATTTGGACGGACAAGACCTCGAAGGAAGATCTAACTTCAAGGTAGACTTCAAGATACTTCGTACTTAACGATAGATTATTGCAATTTGAATATTACAAATTAAAATACCCGATTGCATGCCTCCCCAAAATTGCAATACCAAACTGCACCTGAAGAGCCAACTGCAATGCATACTGCAATGGAGGATTATCGAAAAAATCGATGCAAATTGATTTTTTCCCTTGCCTGGGCCAGTCTCCTCTTGGCAAGCAAGATATCGCGTTAGTAACACGAGTGCTACAGTATACTAGTACGTAGAAAATAGGAGAATCGTGTTTTGGATTACCTCGAATTCATAGCCTACGTCTACGAGCAGCTCTGCACAAGCACAGCCTCGATAACTATATCCTTTTGTACGAATTAACCCCTTGGACGCAGAGGTGTGACACGAATAGGCTAAGAAAAGTGCTTATACCCTCCCGGAGGGTATAAGAAAAAACCTTTGTTAAAATATGATATAATTAATTCAAGGTTAAAAATGCACTTTCTTAGCAACGAATGTAGCTAACCTCCTTGGTAATTATTCCGCAGAAGGGGATGGTGTGATCAGCGGATTTAAAATTCTCCAATCAGCTGTTTCCTGGTCATTCTATGCAAGCCCTAAATTTGGAGACAGCCACAGCACACGCATCACAGACAAACATCTCCCTCTTTCCCCCAACTAGACCCCAAGCAGCGGTGCAAACTATAGCGGCATAGTGGCAGTAACAGGATGGCCAAGTGAGAGCTAACAGAGACGAATGCATATGCAGGTACGGTGCCAATAAATGGTTGAGATTGTGAAGGTACGTGTATTGACAAGGTTAGCTACGGGTTGGCAAGACTACGGTCCCGAATGTGACTCTCCTTTGGCGAAAACTCACCGTTCTGCCACAGGATATGCCATATCTGTGCACACGTCATTCCTTCGTTTGCTGGATGCCTTCAAACTTTGTTGCAAAGCGTCACCACACCCTTCTTGTCCTCCGCACACTTTGGGCAATAGAATGTCGATGTCCCCCCACGCCGCTTACCTTCAGGCTTGTAGCAGGAGCAGACTTTACACTGGTGCTGTCTCAGCCTCTGGACACCGTTGTTCATGCGCGTATCTGGCGTTTGAGCTAGTACATGCCCGCCATGTACAGTAACTTGTTCAGTAACTGTAGTAGAAGGTCGAAATAATCCGGTTGTCTCTGTAAATGCTGTCTGTGTTTGGAGGATAAGTTGCTTGTGCATTCTTGCCAAGAACACGTAATGCGACATCTTCTTCTTGCTCTGTTTCTCCCACAACAGCGAATGTACAATGTACGCGTTCACCATGGCCATGTCTAATAGCCCAAGGAAGAGACTCTTGTAGTATTTCTGAAATCTGGTATACAGAACAGCATAAATTAGAGACCATAAGTTGACATTGTCAGGGTAGCATTTACCTTGCTGCTAATTGCATAGAGTACGACTGAAGTCGCAATTGATCATGGCGATCAACACCACCCATGAAGCGCTGGTATTCTGCAACAATCCCCGGGCATGGAACAGTGCTCTGCTCTCCATTCTTTTCACGGCGCTGAACACTCATAGCTGTTCCAACTTGGGATGCCAGGAAGTAAACCGATCTGTTATCAGCCCAGCTCAGTGCCACTAGACCCGGATTGCTTTTAGCGGTCGCCATTTTGAAGGAGCCCCTTCTAACGTTTGCTGGTCGCTTCTTGAAAGGAAATTCAACCCCTTTGCACCACCCTTTTCGATTCTTTTGTATAGTCCCAACGAAATTGAAGCCCATAGTCCGCAGTTGTTGCGCTAGCGGCACAGAAGTATAAAACTGCAACCACGAGACGCCTTCCTTGGTAAGGGAGTCCACGGAAATCACTCGCAATATTTCGTATGACAGCCGGCGGGCCGCTCTTTGTGTCCATCGATTGAGCATCTTTCTTGTCCTTCTTTCGCCCAACGTCGACCTCAACTCTGTCATGCATCAAGTAATGTACTCTAAGTCAGCATAGCTTCAATGATTTATCGTGACTATGTCAGCATTACCTTTTGCAGTAGCCCGACTCGGCGCAGCACGTCATGACGCACTTGATTCCCCACTTATGAGTCTTGTCCTTCATGTACATGCGTGTCGGATTGCGCCGATTGAACGAAGGTAACATACCTTCATCAACAGCCACTCTTGAACCCAAGACATACCCCTCCTTGAATGTGGTTTCCACCGTTGCCAGCACCGAGCGAATTTTCCAGCCCCTATCATTAGAAGCCGCAGGATCTTCGTTGTCAGTAAAATGCAGAAATCTGGTAATGAGCCGAAAACGGTCTCGAGACATAGCTTTTCCAAATGTTCCTGCAGGAATTAGGCCATCCTCGGCCATATTCCAGTGCATCTCAAACGACTTTCGAGGACTCAAGGCATGGGCCAACATCAGCTCAACCCATTGAACAACTTCGTGCGGCAGAATCTTATCAAATTTCATCAGGCGCTTTCTCAGTTTTTCTTTACTCTTCTGAAGCCGGTGCATCACCTTCCCTTCTTGCTGTACCATTTTCTCGAGGCGTGCTTCAAGCGTTTGCTTCCAATACCGGTTAGACTCGCTTGCAACATGCCGCCAGAACGATTTGTGCAGGAAATAGTAGAAGAGGTCGATAGGTGACTGTGAAGCAGCTATGACGCCTTGTGAGGGTCCACAGTACCCGTCGTACATGTTGTCTACACCAGCATCATTAGTGACAGGCGTTGTTGCATCGTCCGGTAGAACAGTCCAGCCATCTTGTGCCATGGCAGCAAGTTGAGTGGTGTCATAAATCTCAGACGACTATGTCAGCATAATGTCCGTTAGATAAACTCTCCTTGGCTCCACAAAAAAAAAAAAACAATACACACCTTGAACGCGCAACCGCATATCATCAATTTCAGCTGGCTTCATAAGGCCGATCATACGACTGACCTCTTCTGCGACTGACTCGTTTGTATCTTCACTCTCGCTGGAATCTTCATCCACAAATGTTTCAGCGGTCTCCACCAAATCATCACTCCCTTCTCCGTCCGAATCTAGAAAATCTTCACCTTCTCCCAATACGAGGTTTGGATCAGTGGCTTCCATCACCGCGAATTCGATTCCTCGAAATTGAGACGAACTGACTGTTGCAGGCGGAATCGTCACTCCGTCGTCGTCTCGGGTCGTGTCGCCAGTATCACCTTCAGACTCAGAATCATTCCAATCACTCTCATCGAAAACGTACTCACTGTTTTCGCCATCGCTGCTACCGGCGATGACTGAATCCACATCACCATCCATATGTCCGACTGGAGATTTATTGGCATCATCAATAGCTACAATAACCCACACTTGGAATTAGCAAACATATTCGTCAGCATATTAAAAAATCAGCAATGCTATACCTGGAGGGTCAGTATTAGCAGATGCTACCAAGTCAGCATCAACGTTTTCGTATACACACCACGTCAGCGTATGAACAAGTCAGCATAAAAACAGTCGACTATACCTGTCGTGTCAGCGTTAGCTTGTCCTCCGTTGTCAGCATTATCTAAAAATCATTACGACAGTGTCAGCTTAGCATAACGTCAGCATATTATCGGGTTCTTATACCATTCTTGTCAGTGCTCATGAAACCAGGTTCTTGATTTGTCTGAGGGGGATCTACACGAAGTCCATCGTTTGCTACAAATACCCAGTTAGATCTTTATAGGCACCAGCACTGAAACGAAGCGGTACCTTGGGAGTTTTCGCCTCCCCACACTCTACCGAGCGACGAGAGCTCTCGACGGCGATCTGCTGCTTCTTGGTCAAGCTGCTTCTTCGTCATCTTCTTCGTCGTCTTTGTAGAAGGCTTTGCGGCCTTATGCTCTGTAGATGTCTGTTTCACGCGTTTCTTCGCCGGCGCTTTACCTGACACAGGAGCATCTCTCTTTAGTGCAATTGCAGCCTCGATTTCGGGCGGATCAGGCACTGGAGTGGGAGAGTCTGACGCAGCAGCGCCTATAGTGCTTTGGACTAAATTTCAGTACAAACAGTAGGTCACTTTTGTAAACACATAGTAACAGCAAGATACTACTTACTCGCTTGAGAAGGCGGGCGCACCCATACGGTCGCGATATTAAGCCGCGCGCACAGCTCTGTATCGCGACGCACATACGCCAGTAGTTCATCCTCGCCGTTGAAATAGTCCGTGCCGCGTTTACCTCCCCTAACTTTGCTTCCTGGTTTCAGGTAGTTGTGACTACACGCATTTATGCAAGTTAGTACATTAGTGTGGTGCAACAAAGTAGACAAAAAGGTAACGTACTGGATCTGGATGCCGGCTGCAGGCTTCCACGTCCAACCCTCCTTTCGTAGAAGTGGCCATACTGACTTAAAATCCATAAAGTAAGTCATTCTTGCGCTTGTCTTGGCAAAAACGAAGAATGAGTGGCTTGGCGCGAAAGCGGCAAAGGGAACCAAAATCTATTTTTTTCCAAAATATGAGAGTCTGCTCTTTACGCGCGGTA